TTTGGAGATTACTCACTTTTTTCCTGTTTCTCACCTCCTTTTCCTTGTTCTCCTCCCATAGCATGTCCCACTATGCCTCGCAGCCTGTGAAAGAAGGTAAGAATAGGTCTTGGCTGAAGCTCTGTTCATACACAGCTCTCATGTCTTCTTAGCACAGATTCCTTTTATTTTTCTACTAAAGTAACTATTTTATTATATTTCCAAAATTTGAACTTATATACAAAAGTTTATGATACAACAAATTTATTCTATACAAAACGTGTCAAAAATTATCTGAACAGACTGAATCTGTACAATTTAGCAGTGGGAAGGTGTTATATTGGGTTTCTGATGTGATGATTGTTGTTACAAAACTCAAAGATCTTTAAGATCTTTAAGACAATTCTTCTTTGCTGCCCTGGAAATAACTGTTCCTTCTTTCTGCATCGCAGGACCAGTAACCACCCGGCAGATCCGCACCATCTTCGAGGAGGTCCAGGATGGGAAGGTGATCTCCTCCCGGGAGCAGATCACCCAGGCTGCCCACTGAGGCACTGCCTGCTTTGCTGCAAACCTCGCCCAGCACCACGGAGCAGATCCCAGCTGACATGTTCTTGCCATATGGATCATCAAAAGCACCTTCTCCCACTATCACCCCCTCCTTACCCTCTCTCACCCTTCTCTCAGCTCTGTGCCACACACAGAAATCAAATAAAGCTTCTCTTTGCAGTCCTGCAAACCAAGGTCTGGTCTCGATGCTCTTGGGCTGTCCCACCCCTGCAGCTGTGGGACAAATCTTCTTTGCTCCTCTCAGGAGCAACATTCTCCATCCTTGGTACCCTATGGTGGGGCCTGCACACCCACACCTCTGTAACTCCTGGGACCTGGCAGCTTCAGGGGAGAAGGTGTGGGGAAGAGCAGAAAGGAGCTGATGCCACAGGTGGTGGGAGGCGAAGCCTGTGAGAATCCCTGAGTTTCCCAGACTGGACAAAGCGCTGCTCCCCCGCTGCAGTGTCCAGCAACAGCAGTGCTGAAGCTTTAACCCAGAGAGGCCAAGCAAGTGAACAAAGCCCAAGTGATACAGACAGGACCCTGCAAATGCCACGGCCCAGCTCTGCCCCAGCAGCTGCTCCCCATTCTGGATCCCAAGCTTTGGGGTGAAATGATCTGAAGCTGCAGGCAGGACAGGGATCTGTCAGGAGGGTTGCTGTCCCTCCAGACAGGCACACTCAGCTCAGTTTGGTTCCTGCTTCCAAAGGCACCAGTGAAGGGTGAGGAAAACAGTGATGGGAAGAGGAGGGTATGGTCTGTGCTAGCAAAAGGATTACAATTTTTCTGGGAGTTCTTGTGGCACTCCCCGGCTGCCAGTGGCTGCTCCTGACACAGCAGTTCCCACTGCCGTCAGCCGGCCCAGCATTCCTGGAAAGCCAGTTCAGACACATTCTTGGCTGCATTCTGACACATTTATTACTTTGTAAATCCAACTTCTAACTCAATGAAATGAATCAGAGCAGCGCAACTAAGTGAGAAGGAGAGCAGAGCTGGCCACACCACTTTATGACCCTTCTCCAGAAATCTGTCTGGAATGTGGGAAGAGATAAGAGAGAATTCTTTATTTTTCCCCAAACATTGGAATGATGCCTGCAGTGCATCATCTGCCCCGCAGCCAGATTAGCAGGGCTCCATGGTTTTGAGGCCCCCTAACCCCTGCCCTGCAGCTCTGCCCAGTGCCTGGGCTGTGTCCCCCCCGTGACCCTCGTGGGGCACTGGCTGCCCCAAGCATCCCCAGCATCCATCTGCCACAAGGGACTCGGTTCTGGTTTGAAGTTTAATGCTGATGATCAGTGAGCTCATCAGTGGGGCTGGGAGAAAGGCTGCTGCACAGGTCAGCAGCAGCACAATACCCAACCCTCCCAACCCAAGGCACTTCCAGCCCCAGCAACCCCACAGTCCTGCAGACTGCGCTCCCTCCACTCCCACAGCCTTGAGGAGGGAGCCCAGAGCAACCCAGGGGCTCTCCCTGGGGGAATTCATGTCCCAGAGCTGGGTAAAGACAGGGTTGAATCACTCAAGATCAGATGCCTGAGAAGGGTCGGGACAGACAGACACGGCTCCACGGCCACACCCCATTCCAGGTCACCTCTTAGGGACCCTCTTGTCCCCATGGGTGGTGCAGGGACCACCAACACGTCTTGCAGCCCCCCTGAGGACCTGTGCCCCTCTGACTGCTGTCCTTGCAACACCCAGTGCAGGATGCTGAGGTGTCTCGATGGAATTCACCCTTGCTTTATATTTTCCTCCTGTGAAAGCCTTGGCACACCTGTGTTCCTATAGAAACAACAAATAACACTTTACTAATGAAATCCCCTGCTTTAATTATTCCTGCTACTGCACAGTGTGAGGGAGGTGTGGAAAACAGATGTCAATTTTCTCCTGCCTTGAGCATTAATAATTAGCCCTGACCTTAGGAAACCCCACTGAGGAGGGAGCTGCAGGGGTGGCTCACACTGACAGGCAGCGGCAGCTTGAGGCAGGTCTCAAAAAGTGGGAATTTAGTCCAGAAAGATGGTTTGATTCTCAGGCAACACTGAATTCCTCTGACAGAAAAGACCACTTTAGAAACAGATATTAATGTGTGGTTTCCAGCTCATTTTAGGGAACTTTTCTATGATAATTTGATTCCAGGGCAAATGTTATAAGCATATAAAAAGAGGGAAGTGGTTTTATCCAGGTAGTATCTGAATCTGCTGATTTGTAATTTTGAAGCCAGAACTTCACCTCCATTTTCCCCTAAAGTAAGACCGAATTCTATTTTTAAACACCATTGTGCTACCATGAAGTTGCTGTTATGTAGAACTGGAATGCTGATTTTGAAATATATTAAAAATGGGCTCACAGTGTGCACGTGGCTCCAGGAGAGAGGCAGGCTCTGGTTTAATACTCAGCCTTTTACTTCAAAGGATGTGATAGAAACAACACGCAGTCCTTGTGGTTGTGTTCAATGGGAGGTCATGGAAATAACGTCCTTGAGTGGTTAATGTAATTTTGTCTCAATTAATGCTCATGATTTTAATTGTTGCCCTGTGGCATTACCAAAGTATCACAGATATTCTGGGCAATGGGTGTTTTTATGACATAGCAATTCAATGGCAAACAAAAGATGAAAGAAAAGGCAATTCCCCATACAGGAATGACCCGTGTGCCATGTATGGTGATGTGGTGTGACAGGGTGACATCTGTGCCACTCTGAGGGGCTTTGCTCAGGGCAGGGATGAGCCTTTGGGCTCACGCAGGGGCTCTGTACCGTTTTTGTCTCTGACGTTCCCCTTGCATCACCGCTGCAATCGGAGAGGACAAACCACGGCGTTGCCCGGGCGAAGGTGAGGACATGAAGATGGGGACGAAGCACATTCCTGGGAGCGACACATCCTGGCCGCCCCCGCGCTGCTGCACCTTTTCCATCTGCACCTGGGGAGGCCGAGCGGCGAGTGGGCGTCCCCTGGCCCCGCGCCCGGAGCTCACACGACACCGACACGCTGACTCCAGGAGACAGACACGGCCAGAGCCAGCACGGAGGAGACTCCGATCCTCCAGCTCTCCGAGCTGCACGGACTTGTCTCCATCCACCAATGGTAAATGGGAAGATAGGGAGCCACTTCTTCACAGCAGCCAACTCCTGATATTCCAAGGACACATCCCACTTCTGTACTGTCTCCAGCTTTCTGCAGATGGAGGGGAGGGAGTTGTACTCTTTGAGCTCCTCAGCAATGTACCTTTGTTCTTCCTTCCATACCCTTTCTCCCCACCTTTGGCAAGTGATCTGAGGAAGAACTTGGCTGTTGGGAAGGGGCTGTTGGGGCCTGTCTGCAGAGACAGCCCAACAATTCACCGTGCGCACACATGAGCAATCTCTTCCCCTCCACACCCCACAGGATGAGCCAGGCACACTCAGATTGGTGGGTTCTGCCCGTGCTGTGGATCAGCAGGGCCTGGCCACACCATTGCACTCAGTTCTGGAGCCTTTTTACTTGCCAGAGACAACCACTGTCTCTCCTGAAGTTCCATTTATGTGGGAGTTGTAAACTCCAAAGTCACAGTGAAACTGTCCTGCCTGGTCACAACTGACAGAAAAACATCACAGAAAACACCACTGGCATCAGTTGCTGAGCTGTGCTCCTGTCAGCTTTGTGCTCCTGTTCTTACACAGCAGGAGATTTTTCCTTATGTCCTTCATCTACTTTATGCTATTCCACATTTTCCTTAGAGATCTCATAATTTCTAGCTACTGGTCATACCGTGTCCTTTTGGAATGGTTTGCTAGTGCTCGTTCACAGAGAAAACAAACAATCCTATCACCTTTCCACAGTCCCCCACTCTTGGGTGGTCTCTGAAGTGAAGAATCCAGTGAGCCCTGGAGCACGAATTCCCTTTTCATTGCTTTTTCACGACTCATAATCCCTCTCCCTGCAGATAAAAGAGCGGACTTGTATTTCCAGGACTGGGAGCCAAGTTCCTTCCAGCACCATTGTACTCACGGGGCTTTGGAGGTGCATTCAGGGCCTCACAAAACACCTGCTGTCCCTGCAGATGTGCGTGTGCAGCCCAAGCAGGCACAGGAAACTGTAGCTGGGACAAAAAGCCACAGTAAAGGAGATGCTGAGCTATTCCCTCAAATGCTGCCTGCACCGCTCTGTTTCAAAGCTCACAGAGCAGAGGGAATTAAATCATAGCCCTGAGCAAGGAGCCTCCTCCTTTTAATCACACCTGACAATTTACTTGGAAACGGAAGAAGCATAAAGATGCCCTTTGTAAGAGAAAAAGCTTCAAGTGGAATATGACAAAAAGCATGACTAGAACAAAGGCAAAAATGACGATTCTGGAAGTTGGCTCAGGTTTTACGAGTGATGAAAATCGTCGGGAATGCAACCAAAAAAAAAAAAAAATGGAAAAGAAAAAAAAAAAACGTGTGGCAACGCCTCCTGGCCGGGCTATAAAGGGCCCCGAGGCAGGGGAGCGAGCACTCGCTGCTGCTGCTGCTGCTGCGCTGCCGAGCCGCCTCTCTGTGCCCCTCCAGCCTCCAGCATGAGCACCAGTGTCAGGCAATACTCGTCCTCCACCTCCCTCAAGGGCTTCGGGAGCCTGGGCGGCGGCTCCAGCAGGGTCTCCTCCGTGCGAGTCGGGGGAGGAGGGTACCGGGCCCCCAGCGTGCACGGCGGCTCCGGCAGCTACTCCGTCTCCTCCCGCGTGGTCTCGGGGCTCGGCGGTGGCTTCGGGGGCAGCTACTGCAGCAGCGCAGGAGGGGCCCTCGGCGCGGGCTTTGGGGGCACCTATGGGGCCGCCTTTGGAGGAGGCTTTGGGGGAGCCTTTGGAGGAGCCTTTGGAGGCGGTGACGGCATCCTGCCGGCGGGGGAGAAGGAGACCATGCAGAACCTCAACGACCGCCTGGCCGCCTACCTGGACAAGGTGCGGGCCCTGGAGGAGGCCAACACCGACCTGGAGGTGAAGATCAGGGAGTGGTACAAGAAGCAGGGACCTGGTCCTGACCGTGACTACAGCCCCTACTACAGGACTATCGAGGAGCTCAGGAACAAGGTAGGATGCTGGGGTTAACGTGACATCTTCATCAAAGTCACTTGTAAAGAAGTGAGTTTGTTCGTAACAGCTGGAGGGGAGAGGCTTATCAAGTAGCAGGTAATTAGTGTGAAATGAAAACCAGAGCTTTGGAATAGCAGTCACTATGAACAGCAGATCGCCAGGTACCAAAATGGGATTTCTGTTGACTGTTCCAGTGTAGGGAGAAAGATGGGGCAGGAAAGGAGTCAGATAGATTCAGGTTACCTGATGATACTTGCTGCCACACTGTTACCTCTTGCCTTCCTTCTTGCTACTTGTGCCCCCTAGTTGCTCCCTGTTAGGCTCCTGATGGAGCTTTCAGCAGGCAGGGACTTGTTATCTCCTGGCCCTATTCCCTGCTGAGTGATAAGCAGATGGAGATGAATAGTCATTCTCACAAATATCCTACAAATCAGAGACTTTCCCCCCTACCCTTCTAGGAGGCTAAAGGTAGAATTTAAAATAGAAAGAAACTGTCCTATGTGATGGTTGTTCTTTGAGAGCTGCAGACACAGAGTCCAGTCCAGGGTTGGAGCACAATGGGCTGTGGTAAGTGCTGAAATCAGGTGCATGCCTGGCTCTAAAATGTGGCAGATGAAATCATGGCCAAGGTAATTTCTTTATTCTTAGCAGTTCCCTGGATGATTTGAAACAAATGTCCTTCAGCCAAAACACCAGAAGCAGCCCATCCCTCCCTGCCTTGCCATTGCTTGCCCCTCTCAGGCCTTATCACTCATCCTGAGTGAGCTCAGGTTCACTGAGGGAATGAGGTGTGGGTGATTGGGCAATGTCATACCTGGTCTGTAAGAATAAATTCCTGGGAATGGGGCAGGGTCACGCCCTGGGGGGAATTCACATTCCTAAAATATTTTGGGCTTCACCCTGGGGGAAAGGGATTGCTTTGATGCAGGAAGCTCCTCTGCAGATTTCAGCATGTTGGTGTACTCTGATGGAGCACAGAAACATCTGGAGACAGGAGCTGTCTCTGGATTTGAGTGATGAAGTGCTGGGTCTCAGAAACCTGCTCCTGATCCAGGGGAAGGCAGATCCTTCCCTCCCTCTCCCCCCTCAGCTGGGAAATGACCACATCAATATTCCTGGATTATTCCTTGGATTATTCTCCCCTGAAGCAGGAGAAGTTACAGCTCTTCATTAGCTTGTGGCTACAGAAATTCCTGCTCACTAAATGGCCAATCATTTTCATAATGTCAGAGCAAATACTTGCACCTCGGGTGTAATTATGAAAGCCAAATGAGGTAGGCACAAGGCACGCCTTCCTTCCTCAATCCTTTTTTTCCTTGTTAGCTGGGCTGCTCCCATTCCCAAAGCCTGGAGTGCTGCCAGGGCTCAGCACGGTGTGAGCACCTGGAGGTGCCAGCGGGGCAGGGTGACATGCCCATGGCAGTGTTCCCAGGGGACCGAGCCTGTGCTGATGGGAGATGGAAATGAGCACCCCCATCTCCCTCTTTGCAGAGCCCACATGGAAGTCCAGCCCCATGGCCCAGTGCTGCTCCAGTCCTTCTCTGGATGGGATCACTCAGTGTTTGAAATGACTTTTAAACTCTTTCACTTATCCCCCATCAGATTCTTTCTGCAACTGTTGAAAATGCCAACATCGTCCTGCAGATCGACAATGCCAGGCTGGCAGCAGATGACTTCCGAACCAAGTGAGTGTCATGCCTCCAAGAACTTTTGTGAAAATTGGGGAAAGCCTGGCTGCACCTGGGGTTGCTCCACTGGAGTGGGACATTTGGGAATAGTTAATCTCTTCCTGGACACAGCACTGATATTTCTGCACTGTGAGAGCTGTGCACACACATTGAATTAAAGATACTTAGCAAAAATACACTGAGCTGGGGAAGGAAAAGACAAGAAAAATGCTGTATCAGGTGTGTATATGCAACTGTGTGTGTGTCTTTAGGTTTGAGACGGAGCAGGCTCTGCGCATGAGCGTGGAGGCCGATATCAACGGCCTGCGCCGGGTCCTGGACGAGCTGACCCTGTCCAGAGCTGACCTGGAGATGCAGATTGAGAACCTGAAGGAGGAGCTGGCTTATCTGAAGAAGAACCACGAGGAGGTGGGCAGAGTTGGGCTCAGACTGGGACCTACAAACATTCCTGTGCACCAGGGAAGCAGTCAGCCCAAACACACAGGAGTTTTTGCAATTAGGGCTGTCAGGAGACACATTAGCAGGAAGGGGGAGAGAAGTAATCCCTTCAGGCAGGACCTCCAGGAAGTCTGTGGGGTTCCTGTGCTGGGTGCAAATAAGAAATTTGTCACCGTGGGAAGATGCCACGTCAATCTGACATATGTTGTGTCTTTTTTGTGTCAGGAAATGACTGCCCTGCGGGGGCAGGTGGGTGGGGAGATCAGCGTGGAGATGGACGCTGCTCCTGGCATCGACCTCACCAAGATCCTGGCGGACATGCGGGAGCAGTACGAGACCCTGGCGGAGAAGAACCGCAGGGACGCCGAGCAGTGGTTCTTCACCAAGGTGAGGAGCTGGCGGCGAGCAGCGGGCACGGGGCCGGGGCCGTGGCGCTGCCGGGGCTCTGAGGGCACGGCTTTGCCTCGCTGCAGACGGAAGAGCTGAACCGGGAGGTGGCCATCAACACGGAGCAGCTGCAGAGCGGCAAGACGGAGATCACGGAGCTGCGGCGCACGATCCAGAGCCTGGAGATCGACCTGCAGTCACAGCTCAGCACGGTACGAGGGCCGGGCCGCCGGCGGGGCGGGGGACGCAGGGCTGCGCCCACCCGGCTGCCCCCCTGAGCCCGGCCCCGTGCCCGTCCCACAGAAAGCGGCGCTGGAGGGCACCCTGGCCGACACCGAGGCGCGCTACGGCACCCAGCTGGCCCAGCTGCAGATGCTGATCACGGGCGTGGAGGAGCAGCTGGCCGAGCTGCGCTGCGACATGGAGCGCCAGAACCACGAGTACAGGGTCCTGCTGGACGTCAAGTGCCGCCTGGAGCAGGAGATCGCCACGTACCGCCGGCTCCTGGAGGGCGAGGACGCCCAGTGCGTGAGGGGCTTTGCTGGGAGGGCGCCTGGGAGGAGATGGGTCAGAGACACAAAATGCCCAAGGCCTCAGCCCAGTCACAGCTTTCTGGGCTGGTTCCTCTGTTCACACCAGCTGTGGATGCCCAGTGCTCTGTCTCTGGTGTATGGCTGTAGTGGCTTGTTGCCGTGGTTCCTCCATCCCTCAGGAGAGGCCAAGTGGAGCAACACTTTTGTCTCCTGTTTTTCTCCTGTCTGAACACAGAGTCTGTGTAGCAGCAACAACCAATGTTTGTTCCTAACATCTCTTTGGTTTTGTGCTTCTCTTGTAGCATCTCCTCCCAGTACTCCTCCGCCATGTCCTCACACTCTGGCAGAGATGGTAAGAACCCACCTTTCTGCTCAGCCTGGTTCTCTCCCCTTCCCAGTCAAAGCAGGGCTGTTCAAAGCAGCATTTCCCACTCCCTTGTGGAATTTCCACCAGCTCCTGAAGAATGTGTAAAATCTGATAATGTTTTAAGAAATTCCCTCCTTCCTGCCGTGAGTAATTGTTGCCCTTTCCTTTGCAGTCATGACATCGTCCCGCCAGGTGCGCACGATTGTCGAGGAGGTGCAGGACGGGAAGGTGGTCTCCTCCCGGGAGCAGGTGGCACTCACCACTCGCTAGGACAGTCCCTGGCTCAGGAGAGCATTGAACTGAGCCAAGAAGTGCCTGAGGCCATGCGTGGTCAGGTTGTGTCCCCGAATGCTCCCTTCACCTGCTCTTCCTCATGTGTTGCCCTCATTCCATGCAGGTGTCTCTGGACACACTTAATAAAGATTTTTCTTCTTGCTCATGCAACTGCAGACTTGTCTGTCACTGACATGTGATCCCTCAAAGCCTTTGGGTTCTGTGTTCATGCCAGGGAAAGTCCTAAGAAACCACAAGAAGCCAGTGAGAGGAGGGGAATGGAGGGACATGGGTTCCACCTGGAGGGACAGGGGCTCTGCTTGGGACGAACATAATAGGAGACAGCTTTTTCTAATGAACTCAGTACTTGTAAATACATGGGACTGGCTAAGACATAAACTGTGTAAGTGATACAAAATGAAGGCAAATACGGAATGATGAAGTTTGAGGTCAGTGTGACATGCGACTGATAATTAAAGCCAACAAAATAAAGCTCAGTTTCTCTAACTCTTAGGATCATGAAAAGTCACTTTCTCCTGTAAGCAGAACTTAGATGGCTTCAGCAAGACTGCTGCTGTCAGGTATTCTCTCTGAGACAGGAGGCCAGCATCCCCCTGGTTGGCAAACCTCATCCCTACAGGCCTGCTTCTCTTTTGACTGTCTTTAAGTCACACTATCGGGCACAAAAACTTTTACAGGGCTATTCATGCTGCCCCAGGGCTGCACTTGAGGAACTAAAGTAACCATTGCTTAATCTGCACAGGGATGAGTAGCAATAATTTCTATCACTGTCGTGTGTAACAGATCACTGCTAAAACCCTTCCTGTAACACGCAAGGTAGAAATGTTGCCTGAGGCTGAGCTGCTGCTCAGGATTAGTGACTCAGTTGGGCAGCAGCAGGTTCTGGCTGTGCCTGTGCCCACTCGCCTGCTGGAGAGCAACCAAGGGAGGGCCAGAGAGGAGAGGAAATGGTTTAGAGCCAAAAGCATGATGGAATCACTTCGATCCAACTTCATGCTTTCTAGTCTGTGGTAGCTGGGAGCGCTGTGCATCGGCTTGTGTTCCTCCCACACCTCAAGGATACAGATCTGGGGCTCAGATCAAAGTGAGAGGGAACAGTTTGCATTAAATCAGCTTCCCTTATAACGATGGACAGACATGAGGCTCCTGCAGCTGAGGCTCAGCTCGCCCATCCTTTGGGTGTCAGTGGCTCATTCATCCTCCCTCAGCCTCCCCACAGCATCACTGGCCCACTGAGCACTCCCCAGGGTGCTCCCTGGCCCCAGCAGGCTTGGAAGGAGCTGATGATGTCACGCTGGGCATGACAGGACAGGCAAAGGAGGGGAAAGGAGATTGAAGAAGTGGGGAGCCTGCCAGGTCTTTCCAGAGAAGGGAGTGTGAGATATTATCATTCTGTATCATCATTCAGCAATTATAGAAAAGGGCAGGAAAAGAGATGCAGCAGAGTGCAGAGTTCATGGACTGTATTGTGCTTTCCCTTTGCTGGTATGACAGACCCAAAAAACCAAAACTATATAAAAAATGAAAATCAGATCAAGGAACAATGTACCTAAGCCTCAAGCTATCTCAGAATCTCTGCAGGGGGCAAAACTGCAGGCTGGAAATCCTGAGCAAACTGCTCACGTGTCTTCTCTCAGAAGAGAGTTGTTATGCTTTAGTTGTAAATGGCTTTTTAAGTCTTGAACCTTCTGCAGAATGCCCCAAGTGTATGAACACAGAAAAGCTTTCTGCAAACCACAAATATAACTGATTAAATATAAGTAGGAGGCCAAAAGAAGACGTCAGTCCAAGAGTAATTGGCTCTGCTGGCAGCACAGAGAGATGTGGCCCCTTCTGCAGCCAAAAGGGCACGGGGGAGAGATTGATCCAGCAGAACACTCAGTCATCTCTGGTATCTGTCACCCCTGAGATGTTTACATCAGTCAGCAGAAGCAGCCTGAGATGAAATCCTGAGGAGAGCTGGGAGAACAGCTCTGATGGAAGAGTCTGGTTTGTAATCAGCAGACTCAGTTCCCCTGAGAGGACCTTATCAGGGGATATTCATGAACATATATTTGCATCAATGAAAAAGGCTTTAATTCTGCATACAGCTCAGTGTAACCCTGTTATCACAGGCAAGAGCAAAGTCCAAGCTCAGCACAAATGATCTCTGTGTGACATTATAGTGCTCTAAAGAAAGAAAATACTACAGAACTATAAGGTAACTTGCTGCTTGTTATTTACTCTTTGCTACACACATTTGTATCTGTGAAAGAGCAACAATTTGTTTCTCCAAGAAGTGGACAAACACTGGTTTTGGAGAGCATTTTACAGTTTTGTGCAAGCTGCAAGCACAAGAAGAAAAGCCTTTTTAGGATTCAGCAGGGAATTACAGAGGCAAGGTCTCAGTGAATGATGGTGAAACTTTATGGACAACAAAAAGAAAAATGGAAACTGAACATCCTTTCAAGGTATTTCGTGATGGAGACATAGAGAGAAATCAATGAGATGTGCCTTGTATCAAGAGTAATATAAAATAGCAAGAACACTGACAATGAATAATACTGAATTGTGTCATCTTTCCAATCTCTAGAGCCTCGTGTGCTCCTCAGACAGCTGGTTTTACAATGCCCTCGAGGAGGAGGATAGTTGTTATTGTTGTTTCCATCCTACAAAGCATGAAATTGAGGCTTGGAGGAGATGAGTGATTTGCCTAGAGTGATTTGCAAAGCTGGGATCACCTGGAGCACCTGGTGTCACCAGCAAAATGGAGATCAGCATCAGTACAGCCAATAATAGGCTGACAGAAAGTGGCATGACAGGTACATCACCAGCCAGATAAGCAAATACTTTATAAATACTTTGTCAATTGAGAACACCAGGATTTTCCATAGGTGTAACATGGAAATCCAGCTGACAGTGAGCAGAGAGGAGCTCAGACGAGCCTTTCCCTGGCCAGGCTGGTGGGTGATGGCCGTGCCTGGCTCCAGCTCCTCTCCTGGCCCTCCTGTGTCTGGGCACCAGCAGGGACGTGGGGTTTGAGTCATTGAGTCCCCAAGGAAGTTCTCTTGGACTCACCTGCTGTTTTACCAGCTGGTGATTCAGGAAGTATTTATAGTGATGTGAAATGCCAGATCTCCTTCTTGGGGGCACATTAAACTTCATCTGCATTAGCCTAAGGACCAGTCTTAAGCCTTAAAAAAATATTCTGAGACTCCAAAAGGATTTCCCTCCAGGGAAATCAAATCTTTCTCTTTATCATTGCCCTGTTGAGTCTGATAACTCTGCTGTAGAGAACTCTTGGGAATAACTCCAGCATGTCCATCCTCTGCCACCACCCCCTCTCTGTCTCCCAGCCCAGGACGCTGATGGAAACATAAATATAAATCCTTCCTTTCTATTTTTTTTTACAAAGCTCATTACGTGGGAGCAACACCTTTGCCTGGGGGAAGTTCTTCTGCTCGTTTGTTACTTGAAGTAGTAATTTTTCCTGGTCAGACCTGCGCTGCTGTTCCTGAAATGCCCACGGGAGATCCTCATGCGCCGTCATTCCTCGGCTCCCCTGTCATTCCTCTGCTCCCCTGTGATTCCTCTGCTCCTCTTCCTCCCTTGGGGCACAGCATTGCCTGCAAGGGGCTCCCAAGTCAGCCAAGGACAGCTCATCAGAGCATCGCCCTGCCTGCCTGCAAGGATGTGGGGAGCAAATTTCCATCTGCAGACTCCAGCCAGAGAGTCAGTCAAAGCTAATTCTGGAAAGAGCCTTCCATTAGGAATGGAGATCCCATCATTAGCAGATCTCCTCATCACAAAATGAAAATCACTTTACTAAAATGAGGGATGGCTCTGCTGGCAGGGCTTGAGGTTTGTTCTCATGTAAAAGCAAGATCTGGTTTTAAAGAAAAGTTTGAATTTTGGAAAGGAAAAAAGCTGCCATGAAGAACACACAATTCCAGGAGAATAATAATAAATTACTG